AATATTTATTTTTTTTTTAGTTCTCGGCGGACACAACATCTTTGTTGGTATGTGGTGCTGAGGATCGAACCCGGGCCGCACAAACGCCAGGCGAGCGCGATACCACTTGAGCCACATCCCCAGCCCATGAACCTAGGTGCTTAACCTTTGAACCACATCCTCAACCCTTTTTATATTTCATTTAGAGACAGGATGTGGCTAAATTGCTTAGGGCCTCCATAAATTGCTGAGGCTGACTTTGAACTCACAATCCTACTGCCTCAGGCTCTTAAATAGCTGAGATTACTGGCATGCACCACTGTTCCCAGCAAAAATTCAATTTTAGGGCTGGGATTGTGGCTCAGCGGTAAGAGCGCTCACTTAGCACCGGCAGGACCTGGGTTTGATTTTCAGCACCACATAAAAATAAAGGCATTGTGTTGTGTCCATCTCCTCTTAAAAATTTTTTTAATTTTAGAGCAACTTCCACACACACAAAAAAAACCCCTTAACTTTAATTAATGTATATTCTGAGAGTATAAAAAAGACATACCTGAAGGATGACCAAAATCTCAGCATTGTTCTTCTCCAGGGCTATGTCAAAGGCAGATTTATCGAATTTGCTGAAAGCATGGACATCAGCTCCATATTTGATAAGTAACTCTACCACATCTCGATGGTGGTGCTCTGTGGCCCAATGCAAAGCTGTCATCTTCAGCATGTCCTTGGCATTCACATCTGCTCCATTCTGTCACAGAAAAGCAACTTTTTCAACAGAAACTGGTTATAGTAGCACAAAAGCAAGATCCCATCACCAAATAACAAGGATTTCCATAGAGATTACACATACTTAAACTGAGATCACATTTAAGAACTTAAACTGAGATCACATTTAAGAAATATAAAAGAGAAAAATGTTTCTCAAATTCTCCTGAATGCTGACAAGACATCATGCTTTCAATGACTGGGTCTTCTAAGAGACTCACTGGGAAATATTAACAGATGGGAGAGGAAGGGGTAAAGAAGAGATTATTGTTGCACTTATTAACAGAGTGCTGAGTGCCCAAAAAAACTGGCATAAGTATAGAGAATGACTGCAGAAAAGGAATAAAGAAAAATCAATAAAATCTGTTTAGACTTTAAAAAATTAGAAAACTCCTCATACCATGAATCTTGAAAGTGATGCAACTCAATGTTTTAAACCATCTACACTTAATCTTTCCCAGCTCAATTTCCTATCACTATTTAAGAAAACAGGGAGGTAGATGTCTTTTTTACAATATAGCTCCACCACTATTCTTGCTTTACCCTAACAAGCAGTTCCACGATGTGCGCATGTCCATCAGCTGCCGCCATGTGCAAAGGGGTCCTGTCCACTTTGGTCCGGGCATCCCTGCTAACGCCTGCTCGAAGGAGCACTTCTGCTGTGGAATAATGACCGTACTGGGCTGCAAGGTGGAGGGGTGATGTTCCAAGCTGTGGGAAAATAATACTCATTGAATATCTCCTATGTGCAGAATCCTATAGCATTGATGGATTCATATGAAGAAGAGTTAAATCCTATGGTTCCTATCTTTGGAGAGAGAATCTAACTGGACAGATAGTGTTTAAGAAATAATTTAGCTTAAAAATTAATATACAAGCTGGGTGGGTAGCACACATTGTAATCCCAGTGGCTCAGGAGGCGGAGACAGGAAGATATTAAGTTCAAAGCCAGCCTCAGCAATTACATGAGGCTCTAAGCAACTTAGTGAGACCCTGTCTCAAAATAAGAAATAAAAAGTGGTGAGGCTGTGGTTCAGTGATTAAGCACCCCTGAATTTAATTCCTAGTAACAAAACAAAACAACATAAAAATACAATAATAGTCGTGCATGGTGGTGCACACCTGTAATCCCAGCAGCTCAGGAGGCTGAGGCAGGAGTATTGAGAGTTCAAAGCCAGCCTTAGCAAAGGCGGGGCACTTAGGGGCACTGTATGTCAGTTGGTAGAGCGCTTGCCTAGCATGTACAAGGCTCTGAGTTCAATCTCCAGCACCCACCCCGCAAAAAAGACGAGGTACTAAACAGTAAGACCCTGTCTCTAAATACAATATAAAATAGGACTGGGGGGTTGGGGCCGAGGCTCAGCAGAAGCGCACTTGCCTGGCATGTGTGAAGCACTGGGTTTGATTCTCAGCACCACGTATAAATAAATAAAAAATGATAAAGATCTATCAACGACTTAAAATAAATTTTTAAAAAATTTACAGGAGCTGGGGCTGTAGATCAGTGGTAGAGCACCTGCCTTGCACTTGTGAGGCACTGGGTGCCATCCTCAGCACCATGTAAAAATAAAGATATTGTGTCCACCTACAACTAAAAAAAAAATATCAAAAAAAAATCCCAATAATAATATACAAATATGCAGATAAATATACACCAATTAAATAAGTATGCAGTATAATGGCTATAAGTCAGGTAGATTTATCAGGTTAAGACTCTCTAAAGAGGGGCGAGGGGCTGAGGTTATGGTTCAGTGGCAGAGTGCTTGCCTAGCATGTGTGAGGCACTGGGTTCAATTTTCAGCACCACATAAAAATAAAGGTCCATCAATAACTAATAAAATATTAAAAAAAACTCCCTAAAGAACATTATTTTAAACAGGAAGAAGGTTTTTAAAAAATGCCAAGCATGGTAGTGAATGGCTATCCGGAGGTTGAAACAGAAAGATTCCAAGTTTGAGGCCACCTTCAGCAAAACCCTATATCAAAATTTAACAAAAATTAAGAGAGCTGGGAATGTAGCTTAGTGGTAAAGTGTCCCTGGGTTTAATTTTCAGTACTAAAAACAAAAAACAAAAGGATCAAAAAGAGCATTCTGAGCCAGGGATAGAGGAAAGGGCTAGACAGGTTCAAAACAATTCTTAAGAAAAGGGCAGAGACGAGTTACATGTGGAATTTGAGGTACAAATTTGGTTCGAATAGAGGTTTGTTGCTACAGTAAATAAGAATAAAAAGACTGATGAGATGAAAAGACAGATGAGGTAAAAATTTAGCAATACCATTCCAACAGCAATAAGCAAGACTATGTCATCTCAAAATAAATCTTATATCAGCATCCATTTTGGAACTGAGATTTATTCCTTTGTGTGTGTGTTACACCCTTTATTTTAAGCCTGTTCAGTTTATTCTGTGTTTCCCATATATTCCACTTCTGTGCCTGACTGGATTTAATTCATATTGCTCTTTTCACATCTATTTATAGAAATGCTAATCTCAAAGGTTTCCTTTTCTGCCTTTTTATAAAGTGCTAAGAACCTGTTGGCCTCTGAAATTATGAATTAATAACCCCACAAGAGGTCACTCGCTCATCAAAATTGTTAAAATTATTCAGTGCTTACAAATATGTGAATGGTAAGAAGGGCCACAGGTCCTGAGTTCAATCCCCAGCACCAAAAAAAAAAAAAAAAAAAAAAAAAGAAGGCCCACATTACAACTTCTGAAACATGCTGATCTCCAGGCCGGTTGTCTAGGCTCATTAAATTATACATTCCTAGCTAGGTGCAGCGGCGGACTCCTGTAATCCCAGTGACTCAGGAGGCTGAGGCAGGAGGATCACAAGTTTGATGTTAGCCTCCACAACTTAGTGACACCCTGTCTCAAAATAAAAAATAAAAAGGGCTGGGGTTATAGCTCAGTGGTAGAGTGCTCCTGGATTCATTCTCCATATTGAAAAAAAATTACATCTTCCTCTTTAATGTTTTCCAAGAGTGGCCAGCAAAATGTAAAGACTCTTCCTTATGAACCAGGACATGTGAAAGGAAAGGAAAAGAAATACACTCTTGGGGACTGGCTGTGTAGTTCAGTGTTAGAGCACTTGCCAAGCATTTATAAGGCCCGGGTTGCATACATGCATGCATGCATGCATGAATAAATAAATAAATAAATACATAAATACATAAATAAATAAATAGAAATGTACTCTTATTAGGGGCTGAGGCTGGGGCTCAGTGGTAACACACTTGCTTAGCATGTGTGAGGAACTGGGTTCGATTATCAGCACCACATATAAAATTTTTAAAAAAAGGCTATTAACAACTGAAATAAAATGTACTCATATTCTCATTTTAACTTCTAGGTAATTATGAGGCCTACAACCCAAGAATACTTCAGAGAGAAATAAACCTTTAGGAAATACTTTAAAAAATATTACAGAAAATCACAAACATATAATACCTTATAATTACCACCTATATATCCCAGAGGAGACACTTTCAAATTGGAAAATTAAAAAAGAAAGCCACATATTCAGGTAAGATAAAGAAAATAAAACTCTTATAAGGGTAATGAGGAAGAAAGAGAATGAAGAAAAATAAATAATGTCTGTTTGGCCTTTAACAAAAAATATTGGTAAAGGCACACTTTGAATATAAGAGACCTTTCTGCTAAGCTTACCCAGTCTGTGGTAAATGGGGCACCGTTTGCCATTAATGTTCTCACTTCATCATCTTGGCCTTTTCTTGCTGCTTCTAGCAACCTCTTCCCCAAGTCCACCAAAGACATCTTTATGCATAAGAGCAAAACTTTTCAGGTAGCTATAATTCAAACACAAGGAAAGCTGCCTGTAAAATGTTTTTAGAAGACTTTTAATACTTGAATATACATAGGATACATCTCATTAACTGGTAGGACTCTTCTATCATCTTAAGCAATTAGATATTTGGGAAAGTTTTAGGCACTGAATGATAATTCCCTCCCTTTTAATCTCCAGAAAAACTTTGGAAATATAAGCAATATACTCTATACATACTTTCTAATATAGGGAATCAAAAAATAACATTTCATACTCTTGAAATGACCAATGGTAGAATATTATTATTTAAAAAATTTTTTTTAGTTGTCAGTGGAACTTTATTTATATGTAGTGCTGAGATTCAAACTCAAGGCTTCACACATGCCAGGCAAGCACTCTACCACTGAGCCACAACCCTAGCCCCAGTAGAATATTATTTTAAGGAATACAATATAAAGTAATAAAACATGAACTGATTTCCAGGCAGGGACAAAGAAGTATGCCTATATGTGAAATTGCTGCTCGATGGAAATCATGGGATTCCTTATTAGCAATTAACAACTCTTTCTAAAGGTTTATAGATCTTTGGATGCCATAATGAAATAGGACACATCAAGATTTCTAAAATAAATTGCACTGTTAATTTTTCTCATCTGTGGTATATATAATGATGGAAGTTTACAAAAAAGCAAACTTTCTGGTCAAACACTGATCTGCTTCTGGGCCTGATGGCATGCTGTAATCCCAAGGACTTGGGAGGCTGAGGTAGGAGGATAGCAAATTTGAAGCCAGCCTCAGCAATTTGGTGAGACCCTGTCTCAAAAAAGATATATTAAAAGGACTGTGGGGGGAAGGGGTGTAGCTCAGTGGTAGGGTGTTTGTCCAGCATGTCCAAGGCCCTAGGTTTGATCCCCAGCATCATTAAAAAAAAAAAAAAAAAAGGCTGGGAATACAGCTCAGGGAATACAGCACCTCTGGATTTAATTCCCCATACAGCAACAAACAAAGTGAGTTGTTAAACTGTGGTACATGGCCAAATGCAGTGCTACACACCTGTAATCCCAGAAGCTCAGGAGACTAAGACAGGAGGATGGAAAGTTCAAGACCAGCCTAAGTAATTTAAAGAGACCCTAAGCAACTTAGGGAGGTCCTGCCTCAAATTAAAAAACAAAAAAGGGCTGGGGATGTAGCTCAGTGTTAAAGTGTCCCTGGGTTAAATTTCCAATACCGTCCCCACACACCAAAAAAAAAAAAAAAAAAAAAAAAAGTGGTACATGGACCCCTGGTGGTCACTAACAATCTTTTCAGGGTCAAAACTATCTTTATTATAATACTAAGATATTATTTGCCTCTTTCACCATGTTAACATTTGTTCTGGTAGTACAAATACAATGCTAGATATAGCTCAGATCAAATTGTGAAAGTAATTTTCTTGTTATTACTATTATTTGATATACTGGGGATTGAACCCAGGGCCTTGAGTATGCTAATTATTCTATTCTTCATTGCAATGTACTTTCAAGGGGGCTGGGGATGTGGCTCAAGCGGTAGCGCGCTCGCCTGGCATGCGTGCGGCCCGGGTTCGATCCTCAGCACCACATACCAACAAAGATGTTGTGTCCGCCGAGAACTAAAAAAAATAAATATTAAAAAAAAAATTCTCTCTCTCTCTCTCTCTCTCCTCTCTCACTCTCTCTTTAAAAAAAAAAAATGTACTTTCAAGGGAAAAAAGCCAGTTCTATTTAAAAATGTCCTTGATGAAGCAGTAAATATTACTAATTTTATTAAATCTTAACACCTAAATACATGTGTTGATAATTTGTGTGTGATGAAATGGGACATATATATTAAGCACTTCTGCTGCATACTTCAGTATGGTGGATTTCTTGAAAAAAAACTGTACAACTAAGTTGCAAACTGAAATAACAGCTTTTATCATAGAACATCTTGTTTTATTTATTTAGTGGTACTGAGGATTGAACCTAGATGTGCTCTACCACTGAGCTATATCCCCAGCCCTTTTTATTTTATTTTTAAGACACAGTCTTGTTAAGTTTCCCGGGCTGGCCTCAAATTTGCAGCCTTCCTGCCTCAATCTCCCAAGTAGCTGGGCTTATAGGCATGCATTACAGCATCCGACTCATGGAACACTCTTTGTGTGAAAGAATGAACAACAGACAAATCAAAGACTCAGGTATAGGACAGACGTTTATTTAAAAATGAACCAAGTGGGGGCTGAGGCTGTAGCTCAGTGGCAGAGCACTTGCCTAGCACATGTGAGGCCCTGAGTTCGGATCCTTGGCACTGCATAAAAATAAATAAATAAAGGCGTTCTGTCCATCTATGACTATCAAAAAAAAAAATTAAAAAAAGAAATATGAGGGCTGGGGATGTGGCTCAAGCGGTAGCGCGCTCGCCTAGCGTGCGTGCGGCCCGGGTTCGATCCTCAGCACTACATACAAACGAAGATGTTGTGTCCGCCGAGAACTAAGAAAAAATAAATAAATGTTAAAATTCTCTCTCTCTCTCTGTCCCTCTCTCTCACTCTCTCTTTAAAAAAAATAAAAATAAAAAATAAATATTAATAAATTGTTAAAAAAAAAAAAGAAATATGAAAAAGGGCTGGGGATGTGCCTTAGTAATTAAGTGCCCCTGGGTTCAATCCCTGGTACCAAAAAAAAAAAAAAAAAGAAAAGGAAAAATGAACCAAGTGGGCTGGGATATAGCTCAGTGGCAGAGTGCATGTCTAGCACGTGTCAGGCACAGGGTTTGATGCTTAGCACCCCATAAAAATAAACAAATAAAATAAAGCATGCTGTCCATCTACAACTACAAAAAAAAATTAAAAATGAGTGAGCCAAGTGAGCCTGACACTACAAGGAAAACAACTGACAATAATTATTAGTAAATATCATTAATTTGAGCTTTCAGGCAAAAATTAGAATTTTGGAAAGCCTGGGTTTAATTGCCAGCACTAAAAAAAAAAAAGAAAAGAAAAAAGGAAAGCCTAAATCCACCAAGGTGAACTCGATAGCTTACTACTTTTTAATGACTTTTTTGATGAAATCAGTGATAATATTAATGAATGTGCTTTTTGATATTATAAAATAAAATGGACCAACATTTGGATGATATGCATAATTTGGTGAACCAATACTTTCCAATGACCATTGCCTGAAGTTATAAAATCCTGCACAAGTAAAACATTCAAAGTGAAAGATAGACCAAAAGGTTTTAAGGTAAAAGAACACAAGTTCATTGACATGGTTTCAGAATTCTCATTCGACTTTTCTGTGTGTATGTATAGTACTAGGGATCGAACCCAGGAGCATTCTACCTTTGAGTTACATCCTCAGCCCATTTTATTTACTTTTTATTTTTTGATACTAGGGATTAAACCCAAGATGCTTAACCACTGAGCTACATCTCCAGCCCTTTTTTATTTTTCATTTTGACAGAGGTTTTGGTTTAAGTTGCTTAGAGACTCTCTAAGTTGCCGAGGTTGGCTTTAAACCTGCAATCCTAATACCTCGGCCTCCCAATCCTCTGTGATTACAGGTGTGTGCCACCATGCCCAGCTGCCCTTTTTATTTTTGAGGCATTGTCCAAGTTGCCTAGGCTGGCCTTGAATTTGTGAGCCTCCTGCCTCAGTCTCAGGAGTAGTTGGGTTTACAGGCTGGTAACACCTTGCCTGGCCAATTGCCATTAATTTTTTAAGAAATAGCAGTTGTTGAGCTGGGGAAGTAGCTCAGTGTTAAGAGTGCTTGTTTAGAACGTACAAAGCCCCAAGGTTCATTCTCAACACTGAAAAAAAAGAAAAAACAAAAAATTACCACTTGCTAAGTTTTTGTGTAGATCAAAAAATACTGACAATTGTCTGAAAATGCTGGGGCTGGGAATGTGGCTCAAGCGGTAGTGCGCTCGCCTGGCACGTGTGCGGCTCGGGTTCGATCCTCAGCACCACATACCAACAAAGATGTTGTGTCTGCCGAGAACTAAAAAATAAATATTAAAAAAAATTCTCTCTCTCTCTCTCTCTCCTCACTAAAAAAAAAAAAAAAAAAAAAAAAAAAAAAGATTTAAAAAAAAAAATACTGTTTCCTTCTCCGAGTATTTATTGCAACAGATTGAATCAGAAGTAGTTCTGAAAATACAGCTAAGTCAGAAGTTAGAGATTAGTAAAAAAATGTTAAACAATGCCATTCTTTCTCACTATATGCAATTTTTTTTAACTGAGATTTATTTTTCATAAAAATATGTTAGTGGTAGAGTGCTTGCCTAGCATGTGTGAGGTCCTGGGTTCAATAACTAGCATTGCAAAAACAAAAAACAAAAAAAGTCTAATCGTGTTAACATTTAATGGATTAATTAAGTTAACTAATAAACTTTTTTTTTTTTTTTGTAGTGCTAGGGATTGAATCCAGGGCCCAGTGCATGCAAGGCAAGCACTGTATCAACTGAGTATATCCTCAGCCTGTTAGAGTCTGTAAACAAGTCAACTGCAGCCGGACTGCGGCATCAGCCCAATAAATTTTTTTTCTTTTCTTTTTTTTTAGTTATAGGTGGACACAATGTCTTTATTTTACATTAGGTGATGCTGAGGGTCAAACCCAGTGCCTCACACATGCAAGGCGGGCACTCTACCACTGAGCCACAACCCCAGCTCCCAATAAATTTTTTTTTTAAGTATATTTTTAGTTGTTGATGGACCTTTATTTTTATTTGCATGTAGTACTGAGAATCAAACTCAGTTCCTCCCACAAGCTAGGTAAGCACTCTACCACTGAGCCACAGCCTAGCCCTAATTAATGAACATTTTAAAAAGTAACTTCTAAAATAATAAATATCAATAAATATGACATAATGAAGTTCTCAACGATAATTTTTAAGAGTGTAAATGGATCCTGAAACAGGAAAATATAAGAATCACTGGCTTAGGCAAATAATTTAGCTGCTGTGTGATTTTTCAATCTGAACTTTGTATTCAAACTACCAAGGTTGTTGCCTTGCATGCCAAGGCCCTGGGTTTGATCCCCAGGACCACAATTAAAAGAAAGAAAGAAAAGAAAGAAAGAAAAAGAAAAGAACACCCCCCCCCCCCCACAACAAATTACCAGGGTTGTTTGTTCAACATAAATATACCTAGCTGGGAGTGGTGGCACAGTGCCTCCTGCTATCCCAGCTATTCAGGAGCCTGAGGGAGGAGGATGGCAAGTTTGAGGCCAGCCTGGGTAATGTAGCAAGACCTTGTCTCAAAATAAAAATAAAAAGAGCTGGGGATGTAGCTCAGTGGTAGAGCATCCCTGGGTTCAATCCTCAGTACTGAAAACAACAACAGAAAACAACACAAACCAAAAAATATATATCTGAGATCTGCATCCAGGTTCTCTGAATAAGTATGCCCAGGAGAATAAGAACTTCATTTGTTTTTTAAAGTATATGGTGTGTGTGTGGCAGTGAGTGTGTTTGTGTGTGTGTGTGTAGAACACAATACCTTTATTTATTTTTATGTGGTGCTGAGGCTCAAACTGAGGCACGTGTGCTGGGCAACTGCCCCACCACTGAGCCACATCACCTATTTTGTTTTATGTAGAGGCAGGGTCTCACCGAGTTGCTGAGGCTGGCCTTGAACTACCGACCCCTACCTCGGCCTCGCGGTGTGGGATTGCAGGAGTGCACTTATTTATTTTGAGACAGGGTCTCTCGGGTTGCTTAAGGCCTGACTTCAGTTGCGCCCTGCTAAGAGGCTCTGGCTTCATTCCCACGGAGCTGGGGTCTTCGGAGCCCGAGCTTGCCTCCTCAGTACTGGGGACCCCTCGGTCTTCTCAACAGACTCGCGGAGCGCTGCGGTGCCGGCGCTCTCAGAAGCCCTCTAGGATCAGTAGTTACTTTGGTTTACGGAAGCACAGGGCGGGCGTCCGCTCCTCGTCGCTAGCAAGGCAGGTGGGAAACAGACGCTAGGAGCAGGGCTGGGCGGTCGGACGCGACGACGGAACGCGTCCCGGGTGGCCAGAAGCATGACGTCGTCGACGGTCGCCACAGCACGTCCTTCCCCAGGRTAGAAAGAGGAGCAGAGGGGAGGAGAGGCCTTTAGGAGAGGAGTGGGATACGGCTCAAGGAATCGTGAGGCCGGAGGAAAGGCTGAAGGGTAGAAAAGGGACAGGAAAGCACCAACTCGAGAGTCAGCGGTCGGGAGATCCTTCCCTCGGGATCGCACACGTCCCCGCTGGGCGGTCAGCCGTCCAAACGAGGGTCCGGGGATGCAGCCGGGCTTTCCTGCTCGCCCCCGGCCTCGCTGCGCCGCCGGGCCGCCGACCTCCGCTCTACAGGGGCCTCCAGCCCTCCACACCCGAGTTCTGGCCTTCTGAGCCGGGAGCCCGTCGGAGGTCGGGAGCCAAAGTTGGCCCCCTGTGCCGCGCGCCCTCTAGCGGTCACCCCTGTGGCCTCGGCTTCCCGTGGTCCAGCTCCGCGGCCCCAGGTCTCGCACCCACCCCCTTCCTCACCTCCTCCAGTCCCCTCCCCTTCCTCCCGCCAGCATCCCCTTCCTCTGCGTCCCCCTCCCCCGCTGTGCCCGCTCCGCCGCGGGGGCGCCTCTCCCAGCGCACCCAGCGGTCTGGGGTTGCACTGCGAAGCGGGGCGGCTTCCTCCGGGACCTTCCACTCCAGCCCTACGCCCCCGAGAGCCCGCGCATCTCTTGGCCTCCTCACCTCCTCGTCCGGGACGCTGTCGGCTCCACTTTCAGCGAGCCCGCCAGTTTGGCCCCATTTCCTTCAGAAGCTAAGACTCCCTGTCAGTGACGGTTACTTTTTGGCCTTTTCATGTGTGCATATTTTGGGGGCCCTTACCCCCCCTCGTGGAGAAATGGAGGCAACAAAATGGCGGACCCGGAAGTGAAAGCGCAGGAATATAACTTCTGGCGGAGGAATCTCTGGTGGAAAACATTAGGGATATCACGTTTCTATTCGAGCGGGAAGGAAGTGAATCTCTTAGGCTCATTTATTTATTATTATTATTATTTCATGTCTTCTAGAGGTCTCTTGATCCGGGAAAGTGTGTGTCGTGGGTGTTCTGGGGGACTATTTAACGAGGCGGATGGTTATGTATTACGTTCGTGTAGTTCCGGTAGGGGACGGACTCTGATGGCTGTTTGGCGCCAAGAACTTGGCGAATTGATTAAGTGGGATTATTCCTTGGTCCTGGAATTTGCCTTCTACTTGGCGGCGGCTTCTACGGAGGACTAGCGTTAGGGTTGACGGGAAAGGCCTGCTTCCCGGTCCCTGTCTCGGGTAAAGCTGCGCGGGACACCCCTGACTGCGCGGACTGGCTGGTGGACGCGTTCCCGTCGCGGCGCGCCGGGGAGGTGTCGGGAGGCGCGCTGTCGGAGCCGACTGTCGGCAGTTTCTGCCAGAGGATGGAGCAGGAGTTTGCGGATCCTTTTGGTCCTTTCATTTAGCAGTTGATTTTCCATGACTAAAGGACTCGAGAAGCCCGGAAAGCCTTTCAGAAATCAGTAAGTTAAAAGCCAGCCTCTGCAACTTCATGAGACCCTGTCTCGAAATTAAAAAAAAAAAAAGGGCGGGGGTTGTCGTGGCTCCGAGGTAAAGCCTCTCTGGGTTCAATCCTTAGTTCCAAGAAGATCTCAAAAAATAAATTACAATAGAAAGGACACGTCATTTGACCTTTCTGGTCCCATTCTTTATTAGACTTTGGTCTTGGTTGTTGATGGTGGCAATCTTCCCTTCCTTCAGACTTATCTAAGTCATATCGATCTTGTCTTTAAATTATTTATGGCCTTTTAATACTATAAAGATTTTTTTTTGTCTAGCTCAGTGTTGTAGTTTCAAAACAAAAACTATTTGTTTCATAGTTTTTTTTTTTTTAGAATGAGGTGAGTTGCAAATACGCAGATAACATATTTGAGTGTCAGTTTCTTAGTCACTTAAAATTTTACCTGAAATATGTTAGTGGTCCTTGGGGAAGCAGAAGAGTGATTGGTTGTAGGTGAAGTTGATTTCACCCTTTTTATCTAAAGTTCACCATTTAATGAACATGCTATTCAAATCATTTTTCCACAAAGTTGAATGTGATAAAATGTATATACGCTGAATGTGAAATTGAAAGCATGGCTAACTTCAGTGATCTGTACTGCTTGCTTATAAAGAGAAAACTGTAATACAATCCTGGGATTGAATGTCTTTATTAAATAAGTGAGTAAATGGCAGCACAGATCAGCAATATTTTTGGAAGGAGTGGGAACAAGGTGTAGGGGCAGAATGTAATTGCTCATTTCGGGTCTTAATGTAGCTTTAAAACTGTGCCTGAGGCCCACTGATTAGTAGACCATACGTTGCAAATGAGGAATGGGACTAAACCTTATGGTTTTCTTTAGAAGACCGAATCAGAACCTTACAAATTATCCTAATAGCAAGGTTTCTTCTTAAGATTTGAAATCTGTTTTTTTTTTTCAGCTAGAATTATCAATCCAAAATTAAAAGCAAAGTTGTAAGCTGAAGAACATCCTTTTGGACTATGGAGGCTGACAAAAGGATAACAAATTCAAGGCCAGCATGGGCAACTTAGACCCTGTCTCAAAATAAAAAAAATAAAATGGGCTAGGATGTAGTTCAGTGGGTTGGATCCCCAGTACTGCAGAAAACAAAGAATGCTTTTTGGAAGGAAAGAGCTTCAACTATTTCTGAAAAGTCTGAGTGCTTTTCCATATTTTCATAATATATTATTTCCTCATTTTATACCTTTACCCCTAATTTTTCTGGGGAAAAGAATGTATTATAAGAAGGAATAGGATTAAAAAAAGAAGATCATCATCTTAACGTTTTGGAAATCATTCTGTTGTGACAAATCATCTTAAAAATTAGAAGGTTTTCATTAACCCTGGAAAAAATACTTAAATTTACTGGTAACTACCGGAAACTACAAAGGTTTGAGCAATCTTCTTTTTTGTGGTGCTAGGGATCAAACCCAAGGTCTTACATATGGTTTGAGCAATCTTTGAAGCCGATTAAAAATGGGATCAAAACCATATTCCATTTTGCACTACTCTACTACTCCCTGATGTCTCCACAAAGCCTGTTTTCTGGGGTTAATAATCCAGGGGGTGGGGGTGGGGTTTCTGTTATCCAATACTCCATTGCTTTAACCCTTTACTTTGGTTTGAGGGCTTTTGAGAAAAATGGAGTAGATAGATAGATAGACAAATAAATGAATGAATGAATAAATAAATAAATAAATAAATAACAACTGGCAGATTCATCAGCACCACCAACACAATAGAGGGAAGAGAACAAGATTAATTTGGGAAAGGAATGAGAAGGAAGGGGCTTGAAAGAGAAGATAATAAGGGCAAGGTGGTGGGAGACCGAAGTCTTGGCCTTAGAGCAAGTCCAATTCGAAGGAGTGGATGCTGGCAATGGGAGCTCTCCAGAAGTTGAAGGTGCTGTACTCTAGGAGGGTATCGCCTTCTGGGTTTTTCTCTTGCTCTGCTCCTGTTGCTTGCCCGATCATTTTGCCAACGCTGCTGTCCTTGATCTTGTAGGTGGGTGTATCTGACAGACCCAGGCCTTCCAGCTCCGAAAGATCCAGTTCTGGTATGGGCATCCTCCAGAAAAGAAAGGAGCTGTACTGGCTACTCACAGGGTCCCTCATAGTTTCCTGGAAAGAAACCACTTGTCATTCTTTATGCTAAAGCAACCTCTTTTTGGCTCCTAGCTCTTGCTTAGAAACCCAGCTGGGCGTGGTGGCCCACACCTGTAATTCCAGAGGCTTGGAAGGCTAAGGCAGGAGGATCATGAATTCAAAGCAACCTAACAGACTGTCTCAAAACATAAAAAGGGCTGGGGTGTGGCTCAGTAGTTAAGTGCCTCTGGGTTCAATCTCTATTACTCCCCCCCCCCAGAAAAAAAGGGGGTGGGCCATGGTGGCACATGCCTGTAATTCCAGCAACTCAGAAGGATCCCAAGTTCARAGCCAGCCTCAGCAATGGTGAGGGACTAAACAACTCAGTGAGACCCTGTCTCTAAATAAAGGACAAAAAAGGGCTGGGGATGTGGCCCAGTGGTTGAGTGACCCTAAGTACAATCCCTAGTACCTACCTCCCCCCAAAAAAAAAAGTACTGGGGTGAGGGGGTGTAGCTCAGTGGCAGAGCATCCTGAGTTCAATCTCCCCTCCCCTCACCAAAAAAGAAGCTCCATATCCTTGTTTGCCTCTGTAAATAATCCAAGTTCCCTAGGATAAGCTTCTGGAACTCTCCCTTTATTATAATTTTCTGCCATTTCCTAACTTCTCACCTTCAAATGGTTACCTACTGCATCAAGTGGATCTTGGATCTGATTTTTGAGACCTTCCAAAATTTGGCCCCACTCTTTTTTTTTTTTAAAGAGAGAGTGAGAGAGAGGGATAGAGAATTTTTTTTAATATTTGTTTTTTAGTTTTCAGCGGACACAACATCTTTGTTTGTATGTGGTGCTGAGGATCGAACCCAGGCCACACGCATGCCAGGCAAGCGCACTACCGMTTGAGCCACATCCCCAGCCCTTGGCCCCACTCTTCCTAGCAGTATAGCCTCTGGTAGTTTTGTTCTTTCCTGTCTTGCTTAATTCCTTCAACTTTCTATTATATCTCTATATAGATATAGATAATTTTTGGTACTGGGGATTGAACCCTGGGCATCTAACCACTGAGCCGCATCCCCATCCCTTAAAAAATATATATATTTTATTTAGAGACAGGGACTTGCTGAGTTGCTTAGGGCCTTGCTAAATTGCTGAGACTGACTTTGAACTCACAATCTTCCTGCCTTAGCCTCCCTAGATATTGGGATTACAGAGCTATTGGGATTACAGATGTGTGCCACCATGCCCAGCTAAAATGTTTCTTAGGTTTCAAGACTCCATTCAAGGGGGTAATCATGAACTGAAATTTATTTCCATGCATATATGAGTTTGTCGGGAGGATGAACTACTATGTATAACCGTAAATCTTAAAAAAAAAAAAACTCCATTCAAGTCCCTAGAGGACTTTCTCCTCCCCCAATACTGTAAATTCTGACTTTAAATTTAAAGGTCATTTTACTTCTGAAAAGCCTATTATATTCTGCTTTCTGGTTTCCTCCTAAATCATACTATAAGATCATTTCTTTCAAGATGACTTCCTTACACTTACCCTGTTTCCTCCAGCAACTCCCTGACACCTGACAGGTTTACCTGACTCCCATCATTTTGGGGTTACAGATCATTTATGTTTTATGTATAGGAAGAAGGTATTATTTCCTTCAATAGACAGGAAGCTTCCTTAAGGGAAGCTACCCAGTCTACTTTCTGGGTACCACAGATGCTAGGCTTTATACACAAAAATATTTAAGGCTGCTGATTTATTTAATTTAATATGATGAATACTTTACTGTTCTCATCTATTAGTCTACCAATAAGTTAATCTGTTTCTCTCTAGCCTTCCTCTCTTTAGAACAATATCCAGATGCTAGAATATACAAATGGGTTGGCAATTCAAGGTAAGGAAATAAAGTTTAGATTGGAAGCATAAGGTCTTTGCCCTACTTTAATGAGTCAAAGTTCTTTCACCTTTTCTGTTCATCAGCCCCACCTGAAGTTAATGACTATTGTAGCTCCCTGGAGCCTCCACCCTGCTACTTACTAGCCAAGAAAAGTGGCAAGAAGCTTTACTTGAATTGTTCCCAAAGGAACAGAAAGAACATTCCACAGCTTCCAAAAATATAACTCTTAAGTTTCAAAAGACCTTTCTCCAGCACACCTCATTGGTTTTCATCAGGCCTGTGACTCTTAGTGTCCTCAAGTAGTTTCCAAAATTCTTCCACATAATGTGAAATGACTCTACTAAAGCAGAAAAAGAAAGCCTTAATCTAGAACATGGTGATATGAGCATGTGGGGCAACATGAACATTACTCAGCAGAGAAGCTGCTTATAAGGAGGGTGATGCAGGGACTGTAGCATGGCGGGGGAGTGTGTTGGAAAGGTGAGATCATCATTCTATGATATGCAGCTCTGATCATCTCCACAGTAATTTGCAGAGCCATGTATGCAGAAAGAGAGCTTGAAAAAAAAAAAAAGGTTCTACCTCTTATTAATATTTATTTTTTTTAGTTTTCGGCRGACACAACATCTTTGTTGGTATGTGGTGCTGAGGATCGAACCCGGGCCATATGCATGCCAGGCGAGCGCACTACCGCTTGAGCCACATCCCCAGCCCCATAATAGGTTCTTTAAAAAATAAAATCAAGGGGCTGGGGATGTGGCTCAAGCGGTAGCGCGCTCGCCTGGCATGCGTGCAGCCCGGGTTTGATCCTCAGCACCACATACCAACAAAGATGTTGTGTCCGCCGAGAACTAAAAAATAAATATTAAAAATTCTCACTCTCTCTCCTCTCTCACTCTCTCTTTAAAAATAAATAAATAAATAAAATCAACAGGGCACAGTTGTGCATGCCTTTAATCCCAGCAACTCAGGAGGCTGAGGCAGGAGGACTGCAAGTTTGAGGCCAGCCTCAGCAACTCAGTAAGGCCCTAAGCAACTTAGTGAGACTCTTGTCTCAAAAAGGGCTGGGGGGCTAGGGTTCTAGCTCAGTCAGTGGTTGAGCACTTGCCTCGCATACATGAGGCACTGGGTTCGATCCGCAGCCCCACATAAGATAAGTAAGTAAGTGAATAAAGATATTGTGTCCATCTACAACTAAGAAAAAAATTTACAAAAGGCGGGGGGGCGGGGTTAGGGATGGTAAAGCATCCCTGGGTTCAATCACCAGTACAAAAAAAAAAAAAAAAAACGCCAAGTGTGGTGATACACCTATAATCCCAATGACTCCAGAGGCTAAGGCAGGAGGACTGCAAGTTCAAAGCCAGTTTGAGCAATTTTGCAAGACTCTATCTCAAATAAAAATAAAAAGGTCTGTATATAGCTCAGTGGTAGAGCACTCCTGCATTCACCCCCACCCCGTACCAAAGTAAATAAGGAAATAATCATAAGGAAAAAAATAAAAATTTAAAAAATGACATTTTAAAAAATTAGTGACTTGTGAAACCTCCCAGTTTATGTAGAACTCGAATCTCATAATAACCACTCTGATCCCTTTTGTGTTATTCATAGATAGTTGCCTACAGCTTTATATAACCCTGTACTCATATTCTCAAAATTTACACAAATTTAGTTCTTGAACAAATTTTCTGTGGGAATAGGTACTGATTATTCCTGTGATTCTAATCTGAATAGTGAAAATGTAAAAGGCAGTAGAGAGTAAGTTAGAATCTGAGAAAAAGGAAAAAGATCTTTGACAGACTTCTTTTCTAACAACTATAGTCTATGTAAAAACTGCCCTAACAGTCTCTGAGTGTTTGGTGGTACTATTTTATAATTTAAAAAGCTGAAGGAAAATTTGTGAAATATTAACTCAAAAGACCTAAAATCTTTAGTTATGCCTTTGACCAAAGATATGTCCAGAGAATACTAAATGCATTCCAGAAAGGCACACATGTAAATTTATGTGGAATTAAAATCAAGAAGATTGAAGATTAGCAGAAGATTGAAGCTAAAATGTCAATGTTTACTAATGTAAAGACATTTGTAGTGATATTTAAAAAAATTTGTATTTAGTGTTGATAGACCTTTATTTATTTGTATGTGGGGTTGAGAATCAACCCAGTGCCTCACACGATAGGCAAGTGTGCTACTGCGGAGCCACAGCCACAGCCCCTGTAGAGACATAATAGAGTACAGATTTAATTCCCAAGTCCTCCAAATTTTGTGAAGGATTCCTTTTCAGCTAGCTTCTCTTTTCCTTCCCCAAATGCTCTCCACCCATGTCATATCTATTATTTACTTATTTCAAAAGGTTTGGACACTTATCTGTACCATGATATATGCTCATTAAATGCTTCCCACTATCCTTCATTTTAAATTCTGCAGATAATTAAGGCAAAGGTAATTTTGTAAATATCACTAGTTTGAGATAACATGACTAATAAGTGTACAGATTAAAAAGACAAGTTTTTCTTAGCCACACAGACACACCCAAATACCCTTTGTCCAGACCCTCTCTAGGCATCCAAGGCCTACTCAACCCAGCCTTGCTGTGTCATGCTGCCACCATGGGAAGCTGGGGAGAGGATGGATGTCGGTGGAGGCGCATGGAAGATCTGTGGCATCTCGTGTGTACCTCACTCTGAGCTTGGATTTTCCGATTAGCCATGACCTGCCCCCAGTTATTCTACTGAACTGCAAATAAAAATCTGCATCCATCAGTAGCTCCTGTGGATCTGGATTTCAATATGGGATCAGGCAGTTCTCCAGCAGAGAGCTCCACCTTTCCTACCTAAAGCTGTTTCTTTGGAGCAAAGAGGTGGGGAGGAGAGTTCTGTTAAAAGGTCGGGAATACCCTTAAAAAAAAAAAAAACCCATATCCCACCCCGCAAAGCCCTTTCTGCAGAGACAAGTAGGACACTATAGAATTCAGAAATGGGGGGAGCAGACAGGGTGGTACTAAAGAGCCACCAAGTAACCGGTGGGAAAATCGGCTCGAAGAGAAGACATAAATAATCAGACCGAAGGCATGAAATGCACAGGCTCGTAAGTCATGGGCAATGGAGACTTGAAATGCGGTTAAGTGCTGAGGGACGGTCACACGCGGACTGTTTGGAGGTTAAGTGCTGAGGGACGGTCACCCGCGGACTGTTTGGAGGCTCGCCTGGGCACCTGAGGAGTGGGCATCGGTGAGGAGAGCGCGCAGCGGATAACGCCCATTGTTCACTGCGCCCCTTCTCGGAGGGTCCCCACCTCGAGCTCCTCTACCGCAGGAAGCCGCCCTCCCGCCCGGGCTTCAGGCCGTCTCCCTCGGACGCGCTTACCTGTTACCAGGGAACCACCAGCGCGTTCGAGAGAAGGACCGCGGGCCTCCGGGTCTGCTGCGGACGGCGCTGGAGCTGCGGCGGTGCGCACGGCTCGGTCCGCTCGCTCCCGCTGGCGCCGCGGGGACGAGCGCGCCCGCCCAGCCTCCCCCGCAACGCAGCGCCCCCTAGGGAGCGCGGGAGGACTCCCCGCCCTCCGCACGGCCCGTGGCGCTCCCACCCCCACTCGCGGACTTTCCGGCCCCTCGGCCGCCTGGCTGCCGAGAATGAGCGGTCTGCCGTTCTCTAGTTCACTGAATAAAGACTCGGGACCGCGGTGCCGTGGAGGAGCCCCGTTCTCAGCCGAAGGACTCCCGTGCTCACCCGCCCCTCTCCGCGCCACCCGCACAGTGGGTGAATGAACCTGGCCCGGTTCCCCTCGGGACGGGGCGCAAGGGGCTGAGGCGCTTCTCGCCTCTCCCCCGCCCGGAGCCCTGTCAGGTCCGGGCTTTGGGCTGCACTTTGCCACGCAATGCCTGGCGCGTGGAGGCCGCGCGAGATGCCGGGGCCCGGTCTGGGTGCCAGGCCCTCACCCCGGAGCCCCACGCCCCAGTGCACCTGCGGGAGCGGCGGCCCTCGGGGCTGCGAAAGCCCCCTCCCACAGCCCCGCGGAGCCGTGCGCTCGGCCCGGAGCCCGACGGGTGTCGTAATCGCGTCGCGGCCGTTTCCGCCCTCGGCCAGCCCCACCTCTGCCGGCCCGCCCTCGGCTCCCCCACCGCGAGGAGCGAGCCCGGGAAGCCCACACGGCGGGCACCGGGCGGGAGGCCCCTTCCAGCTCCGGCTGGGCGCCCCGAGGCCCGAGGACAGAAGGTGAGACCGTGGAGCGGGGCCTGGCCGCCAGAGCAGCCTGCCAGGCCGCGGAGACGCACCGGATGCTGGGGAGGGTCGGGGTGCCGCGACGCCGGGCCGGTGGGAACCGTCCCGGTCCACCTGGGTGGGTGCGCAGCCCCGGCGCTGGGCGGTGGGAGGCAGGGGGCCGCTCTGCTCGGGGAGGCGCGAAGGAGGGCGTCTCCGCGTCTCACCGACCAWGGTGGTGGCGGGTCCCAGGCAGAAACGAAGCGGAGCACAGCCGGGACGGCCTAAATCTGAGAGCGGGGCCCACTCGGAAGAGGGGTCTGAAGACCCCGGGAGCTGCCCATCCCTGCCCGGGGCTGGGAGGCCGAGGGAGAGCGTGCAGAGGTGCGGTCCTTGAGTTCACGCGCTGGGCGAGGGAGGCCGAGGGCCTAGTTCCGCTTCCCGGGAGCCTCCGCAGGACCTTTCCTGGGGAAGGGCAGGGCTGGTGCGAGGGCAGACGCCTGACACGGCCGAAATGTGGGTCCACCCCCTCCCGAGGGCCCCTCAGCAGCCCTGCAGGCTGGGGGGTCTCCCCACCGACCCGCTGCGTCCTGGGCTCAGAGCCAGAGTTGCCCACTGGGTTCTCAGTTCTTTCTGTTGCTCCAGCTGCTTCTTGTGAAGGCTTGTCAGGCCTCGGGTTGGAGGCCGCGGACCGGGAAAACCGGTTTGGGGCAACCACAGGACCAGGGAACTACCTCTGTACATCCTTCCTCCCTGGCACCTTTCTCCCTTCCCTCTTTTGCTTGCCTCTCAACAGCTTTGAGGCTCTTGAGTCGTAGTGTGACCATGATGGCAGTGGTAGTGATTTAGGGGGTGTCTTTACCATTTCAATATTTCACTCTTTGGACTCTTGTCTTTGGGGCCCCAGTTACCAGTACTACTTGGTTATTGGGATATGGTCTTATGCTGTGTAATCCTTTTCCCAGCCCCTTCCCTTTTTCACTGGGGGTTGAAATAGCAGTAGATTCAGGCATCTCTTCTTTCTCAGCATACCAGCTCAAGACCTCATTTTTCCTCAACCCACTATTCTCTGGCTACTTTAAAGAGAGTGACAGCCAATGGCTCTTACTTCCTTTTCTAGCTTTGTTCCCTTCCCCCCAGCCCAAACCACCACCACCACATTCACCCTGTCCTGTCTTCTTCACCCTCTGACACCACCCCCAATTTTCAGAGACCCTAGGAAATGGAATTTCCTGGTCACTTATCATCATTGGTCATTTCATGCCAAGTCCCCCACACACACACATTTTCCCTCCACCCCAGCTCTAGTCAGATCCCTGAAAAAGAAACAGAAAGGTCCTTGTTCCCTCCACTGCCCCTTTCCCTTTCCCTCCTCCTCCCCCACTCTTCTCTTCCCTCCCAGCACCATCCACCTCTGCTTTGAGCTGGGTGGGGAATGTTAAGAGTCCAGTCTCAAGTCAGAGTGTCTGGTGGTGTTGGGGGTTTCCTCTTATTCTTCATTGTTTTCTCCATTTCCCCCAACCCTTACCACCTGCCATCACCACCAATGAGATCAGCCTTATGACTGACTTCTCCACTGACCACTGCTCCCCTCTCAGGACTGCTGTGGTCCCATCCTGATTAACATCCTTTCCAGGGATGGGAAGGGAAGGGAGAGAAAGCCCAGACTCTTGGGTTCTTCCCTCCCCATGGCTTACTTCAGTCTTTGTGTGATGTCATCATAAGGCTGCTAAAAAACAAACTAAATTTTTAGGTCATCTAGGGTGCCAGAGCACCAGGATTCCAGGCCTAGAAAGAAAAACAATTCCTTTTCATGTTAATGTTTAATATTCATAAGTTGGACTCTTTGAGGTTTCTGAATTTTAAGACAGGGAAATGCAGTGAGAGGAAACCCAGAAGGGCTCTACCCTGCTGGCAGTAAGGAGGGGAGAAAGTTCTTCCTTGGACACCATTGACACTGGAAAATTCCTTGTGTTGAAGCTTGGGGTGGAGGTGGTGAGGGAGGAGAGAACAGGTCACAGCATGAGGGGAGGTGGGAAGGAAGCCTGGGCCCTATAGAGTGAGGCAGAACAGAGCTGCACGACAGGACTTGTGAGGAGGGTGGGGAGGCTGGAAAATAATTCCTCATGGCATAGAAGATACTCAGCACATGTGCAGAGATGATCTGCACAAGATGTGTTTGGAGATAGGGCCAGATTGTGAGTGTGCAAACAGGTGTACATATAGGAGTATGGCAGCACCAGACAGATATAACAGTGTACACAGCCTTCAGAAAGGTTCTCAAGGTCAGGTAATAAAGGAACTGCTAAGTGGTTTCTGGGAGGGGTTGGATCTCAGTTGAGAGAAATGAGAAGGAACAAGGGCAATGAACTGAGAGAGGTAAAAAATTCCTCACAGAAGAGTCTTACTGTTTCCTAAGACCTAGGTGGTTAGTCCTCTCTTGTTCTTAAAGAAAATCTAGGTGTTCAGGGCAAGGTAAGGAAATAGGAAGGGACAAAGGGTGGAGGCCTTGTTTATGAGAACAAAAAACCGCGATTTCCTCTTCAGAGTCACTTAAGTGCTCCTCCCCTTCTGCACTAAATCCAGGGTGAAAGGAGCTAAACCATTGAGCACCCTCAAATTTTGCTCATTTCTGTCACTATTCTTTGGTCCTCTCTTATCTTTTCACTGTAAGTCCCTTTAGCCCCCTTTTTCTCCCTTGATGCAAACAACCATTGCTCCTTAACCCCTTGGTTTTCTTTTGTTTTTGTTCCTTTTTCTGAGAGTCAGATGATGTTTTTGCAAAACATTAGTCTTGAATACAGAATTAGGGGGCTGGGGATATAGCTCAGTTGGTAGAGTGCTTGCCTTGCATGCACAAGGCCCTGGGTTCAATCCCTAGCACCAAACAAACAAACAAACAAAAAACAGAATTAGGGCCTATAAGGGAGAACTGAGAAGATTGGGACTTATCTGGAGTTTTCTCGAGCATCTGTGAAGGGGATTTCTTGTTAACTTTTCTTTTTGCTTTTTGCTTATCTAGAGTTCCAGATTTCAGGAAGAAAACCTTGTACCTGCATGCCTACCCCCCTTCTCTCTGGCCCTGTTAGACTCTCCAGCTCTGGAACGCTGACCCTCACTGCTCAACCAAGGATCCTGGGGATTCTACCTTCTCTAAACACATCCAGCTGAGTAAACCCAGGGTGTTATTATACCTGGGGAGAGTAAGAAGTGGGGGGGTCAAGGCACCAGAGCAAGAGCCCTCTGGGGCCTCAAGAAGAGGAGTGAAGCTGGAATCATCAGGGAATATGAGTGAATTTTGGCACAAACTGGGCTGCTGCGTGGTAGAAAAACCCCAGCCGGTGAGTTTCCCAACACCCCCATCCCAAAAAACTTAGTTACCTTATGCTGTGAAGTGGACATACCATCTGGGATCTACCTTCTAAAAAGCACACTTCTTGCCTCTCAGGAAAGTTTCTAGGCCAGGCAGATGTATACACACAATAAAAGGGACCACGTGATGGTAGAAATGAATGTTCTAGCTATCACTTCCTGTTCCTGTCCATTCTCAGTTGGGCAGGGGTTGTAGGTTGAGCTGAATACCTGTCAGCTTTTCCCCATTGTTTCCTCATCAGCCAGGATATGACTTTGACATATCCTTTTTTTTGAACATTCACTCTGCAGGCCACTGCCCTCCCCACTTTGGTCTGTGTGGTCTCTTGTTATTCCACCTTTGTCTTTCATTCCCTAGTGATTTCCCTGTCATAATGCTACTTCTGGCCATTGGCTCCTCCCTTAGTCGTTTTCAAGACTCTTTCCCCTTCCTCACTGACTTAACACGTGACTCCTTATCATCTCTAAGCAGAAAAAGAAAAGACGACGAATCGACCGGACCATGATTGGGGAACCAATGAATTTTGTCCACCTGACTCACATTGGCTCTGGGGAGATGGGGGCTGGAGATGGACTTGCCATGGTAATGAGGGAATGATAAATGCCTGTGGACTGTAATTTTAATTGTTTTTGAAAGTTTAAGTGAGGAACAATACACTCAATGGGGAAGCAAGAATCTGGGATTCTAGTCCTGGTCACCAGCTGTGGAAATCTAAGATCTGGCATTTCAGATCTCTTGGCCTAGGTGACCTCATCTTTATAATTAGCATGTTCTTCATTGGGGTGGGGGATATATGACTTAATAATTAGAGGACTTCTTCAAAAAATATAACCCTGGCCTGGGGTTATATAATATAGCTCAGTGGCAGAGTGCCTTCCTAGCATGTGTGAGGCACTGGGTTCAATTCTTAGCACTGCATATAAATAAATTAAAAAAAAAATCCATTGTCAACTAAAAAAA